CCCGCCCCCCCCCCCCCTTTGTCTTCAATTCTCTCAATTCGCTCCCTAGATGAAACACGCCAACGTCTCCGCCAGCGGCGTCCGGCTCGACCTCAAGAACCTCGGCTGGGCAGTCATGATCGGGCTGCAGGACATGCTTGAAGCATACTTCCCTCCCCCGCTCTCCTTCCCCTTCGACAACCACTTCAAGGAGCACAAGGAGCAGGAGGCGTTCCTGGAGGACATGACCATCGTCTTCGAGATGCCAAAGGGAGGGTCCAGGGAGCGAGTCATGCAGGGCGTCTCCGACTGGCTCTCCGGCGCCCTCTCCTCCTCCACCACGGCCGACGTTCTCTTCCTCAGAGGGGACGCGCACTCGGGGCGAACGTCCTTCCTCTGCAACTTCCTGCAGAAGAGGCTCAACATTCTTGGCACCTCTAGTGCTCCCTCTGACTTCCTCTCCCCCTCCTCCCCCACCGGTGCCCGCAGCGTCAATCTTGTAACCTTCTACTTCAAGATGACCGACACCTCCTTCGAGCACGTCCTGCGCTACCTCGGCATGGAGATCCTTATCCAGCTCCAAGGGAGGGAAGCGTTGAAGAGGAAGGAGGCGGCGCAGACGACGTTCAAGTGGTTCAAGACTGTCCTCATCGACGTCCTCCGCAGCGGGTACACCCTCCTCCTCGTCGTCGACGGGCTCGGTTCAGCGCAGGTGGAGCTCCTCTGCCAGTTCTTCGAGCTGGCGTCTACCAGCAAGAGGGAGCAGGAGGAGGAGCAGGAGGGAGGTGGGAGAGGGCCCGAGGGCAAGCTCATCCTCATCGCTGCGAGCGATGTATCCAAGGCTCAAATCCCTGAGATCAGCCTGCCGCTGCTCGACAATGGGGAGGAGAGTGACAAGGTGTGCCGAGCATGGCTGCGGCATTTCGGCAAGGAGAACGTGAGCCCGGCCCAAGTGAAGCTGATCGTGAGCAAGGAGGACGGGAGGAGCCCTCTCTTCCTCGCCCTCTTCTGCGCACAGGCGTCTCAGCTGTCGCTGTACGAGAAGGTGGACGAGGACCTGAGGGCGATGAGCGGGAAAGTGGACGACCTCTGGACTGACTGCATCCTCCCGAACATGGAGCAGCGCTTCGACCGCAAGGTGGTCAAGTTCGTCATGCTGCAGATCCTCTCGTCCTCGGGGGGCATCTCCATCAACGACCTCAAGTTCATCTCCTCCTCCGACGAGCTCTTCTTCAAGGACTCCATCGCCGATGTCAACGTCGAGACCCGCATCGAGCAGCTCGTCGACGTCCTGCAGATGTTCCTGCGGCCCTCGAGCAGGCAGGGCAGGGAGGGCCTCCTCCTCATCCGCTCCAAGCTCCTCGTCACCGGCGTGATGCGCATGTACGCGCCGGCGGCGCTGAAGCATGACCAGGAGCTTGAGGAGATCCATCGGCTGAGGGACGAGATGTCGAGGATGCGAATGAGCTTCCGTGCGATCCCCGACGAGGACAGGGGGGTGCAGGAGGAGGAGGAGAACAAGGTTCCCATCAAGCAGGTCAGCTGGACGTTCGACAAGGCCTACAGGAAGGAAGGGATGCAGATCCGAGGAGACGGGAGGACGGTGGAGCTGACGCAGCTCGATGGGTCCGTCCTCATCTCTCCCAGCGCGTCCAAGGAGGAGGTCTCCTTCCTCGAGATCAACTGCGCCAAGGTCAAGTCGGACATTCGCATCGGCGTCTTCCTCTTCGACGGGGGCAACTTCCCGCAGTCGTCCAAGGAACTCTCTGATACTGAGCACGGGTTCCTCTACAGCGTCAACAACATGTCAATCAGGAACAAGGAGCAGGACTGTGCCGACTGGAAGGGAGCGAGCGGAAAGGTGAAGGTGAAGGCATACCCCGACACCGTCGGCGTCTTCCTGTAAGACGACCCAGCATCCTCCCGGCGTCCCCAACACCACCACCAAGAGTCTCCTCCTCCTACCTCGCTCCTCTCCCGTCCAACTCCTCCACTCCTCGTCCTGACCTTCTGCTCCTCCCGCTCTTCCCCAATCCCCCTGCTCCCGTCTCTGCTTCCTCCTCCTTCGTTGGCTCTTCAGCCCGTCCCGCTGAGCTTCAATCGCAGGTTGCCGACTCAAAGGATGATGACTGTTGTCCTCAACAAGGAGACGTACCTCCCTCCTTACAAGCTCCCAGAGCTCAAGGGCAGAGAGTGGAGGTCTCGTCCTCATGCTCTCTGTTCTCCTTCCCTTCCTCCCCTCCCCTTCCGTCACATTACCCATCCCTCCTCCTCCTTCCCTCCTCCTTTGGTCCTTCCTCCCTCCCTTCCTCTTTCCATCCGTCCATCCTCTGCTCACCCTCCTTCCCTTCTCCTCCTCCCTCTCCCACCTCCTCCTCGTTCCTCTCCCACCCCTGTCAACTCCACCACCATGTGTTGTGCGGTAATGCAACTCCTACAGGTTCGGGTTGGAACTTGCGGGAAAGGGAGACGATTCAACTCAAGTTCGTATCATCGACAACAAACTCACTTCTATCAACCTGGCACTCATCGGTAACTTCCACTTCCTCTCTCAGCAGGAGTTTCTGGTCTTAACGACATGCAGGAGACAACATTCCTTGATCCGTATCCTCCGGCTCAAGCCTTCACAGCTAGTCAGCAACTCGCTCCCTTCTCCTTTCCTTCCTCCCTCCCTCCCTCCCTCCCTCCCTTCTTCTTTCCTTCCTCCCTCCCTGTCTCTCACCAGCACGTGCTTGGCAAGGAAGTCTTTCATGCGGTCCATGGCCAGCTGCCCGCACACATCATCTCCTCTCCTTTCTCTCTCTCCTCCCTCTCCCATACCAGGATCGTCGCGTCCTCCACCTCAGGACGGCCGAGCTTCTTCTGCATCTCCTTGCCCCAGGCTGTTCCGTTCATGAAGCCTGCAATGACGTCAGCCTGCGAAACTTGATACGCCCATCCTCCCATCTGTTCCACTTGAAAAACTCTACCGTCTTCTCTCTTCCTCTCCCTTCCCTCCTCTCTCCTCCACCACCACTCTCTTCCTCCTCGTGGCTCACCATGTCCTTGGGTCTCGTACATGTAGAACTCCATCGGACAGCCGGAGGCCTTGAGCTTCTCCTCGAGCTTTGCCGCCTACAAGGCGTCAAGTTAGGCACACAAAAGAAGACAGAAGGGAGGGGAGAGCAGGAGAGGGGGGCAGAGGAAGGGAGGAGAGGATAAGAGACGGGACGAGAAGCCTAGGATAAGGGGTGAAGCTACAGGAAGGGACTAGAAAGCCTCTAGCGGCAGGAAAGGTTTGGTGACCATACCGCTTCAGGATCGGAGAAGCCCTTAATTTCGTCCTTCTGTCCGAAGTGACATTGAGTCTGACAGAAAGGTCAGGGCAAGCTAGGACAGGAACGAGAGAGCGAAAGCAGCCTGATAACAAAGGAAGGAGAGAACAGAGAGGAGGGATAACGAGGAGAGTTCTGGAAAGGGGAGAAATAGGAAGCCAGGAGGAGGACGAGTTGGCCAGGAGGAGGACGAGGCACCGGCTTCTTCATCTCCTTGACATCGGCAAGGCCGTCGTTCCATCCTGTTCAATCTCCGTCACCCGCATCCTGCCCACTCACTTCTCCTCCAGTTCCAACCGTAAAAAGCGATGCAGGCGTCGATCTCAGGGTGGTGGACGGCGCTTCCGAGGGAGAGCGCTCCTCCCATGCAGAACCCAACGACTCCGACCTGCAGGGCCACGTCATCCTCCCTCCTCCCCTCCTGCACATGAGCGAAAATTCTTCCCTCCCTCCTCCCAACAACCATCCTTACTATCCTCACAATCATCTCCTTCTCTCACTCACACACTAGCTATCTGTCGCCTCCCCTCCCCGCTTCCACCACCACCCCTCCTCCCTCCACCACCACCCCTCCTCCCTCCTCATCTCCCCTCTCCTTCGATATGTCCGTCACCTTGCTGCAACCCTGCGACTTGAGCCAGGTGGCTGCAGCCTTCACGTCCTGCAAGGCTCCTGGCCAGTCCAGACCGCTCATCAAGTGCTGAGCCTCAGCCGCCTGAGAGACAAAACATCAAGCAAGAACAAGAACAACAGGCACTTTTTCCTCTTCCTCGTTGTCCCTCCCTCTCTTTACCCCCCCGTCTCCCCTTCCCCTTGTCATCTTTCCCTTCTCGTCTCCCTCTCTCCCTCCCCTCCATCCTCTCCCTCTCCCCCAACAACCATTCCTCTCCTCCAACTTCGACTCCTCTGCCATCACCTCGTAGGCAACCTTGGACCTGTACAGATCTGGGATGACAACTCGAACGCCGCACTTGGCCGCGATGTCAGTAGCAGTTGCCTTGATCTGCAAGAGAATATCAGCGATCTCAACCCGACTCTCCTTCCCTGCCCGACAGCAGCACCTGATCATTGATCCCCCACCACTCTGCCGTTCCAAAGATCGAGGTCGTCAAGAGGAAAGCAGGAGCATCAGGAACAAGAGAAGAAGCAGCAGCAGCAAGAATGAACCTTGAAGGACGATCTGCGAACTCAAACATCAGCCAAGGCAGCCGGCCACGAGTCGCAAAGTCAAACCCTACCAGCCCTCCCTTGGGTCCGGAAGCTGAGGCGTAGGCGGGAACCTCGGTTCCGTCAGCCCTGGAGGAGACGACAAGTCAGAAGGGTCGTGCGGATGAGCTATGAGAGGAGTAGCAGCAGCAGGGTTACCTGTTGAACTTGACCATTTCAGTTGACATCTTCGAAAACTCCCTTGAGAAGAAATAGCCTGTACTTCTGCTCTTGGTCCAGAGTGAGTGTCGACCCTTCAAGAAGAGCAAGAGTTCTCACTCGCAGCGGACGAACGGGTTTCAATGCAGATGAGATGCGTAACAGTCCCCCCACTATCAAGAGCGTCACCATGTCATCGGATCACTACACCCCCCGCACTTTGTCTTCTGATCAATGCAGTCCTCGCATATCAACTTTGCTCGTCTCTGGCTGACAGATTCTGCTCATCTTCCTCCTCAATCGTCTGTCCTCTAACCTTCCTACTTTTTTCTCCTTTCCCTCCTCCCATCGCCTCCTCCGCCACGCTCTCGCTCTCCCCTCCGCTTGCTTCGCCACTGACATGATCGCATCCTCTGCTGCCTGTTTAAAAGGTCTTTGATGCACAAAAAGTTCCTGTTCCCCTATTTGTTGTCTGCACCTTTAACCGTCTAAAAGTTCCTGGATACTCAAAAAGTTCTGAAACTGCGAGCTCTTCAAACTGAATCTTTTCATTCCAGATCCGCCCATATCGTTCCGAAGTTCAAGGCTCTCAGAGTCTGGGGCGGACCGTGACGCCGGCCCACTGTTTCCCGCTCGGAACTTTTGACCGTCGGACCGTGATACTGATATTCACTGCGCGTGCTTTAGTGTCGCGATTCCGGCGAATTGGATCTTGCGGCCGGACAATCCGATACCGTAGTACACCGGACCGCGGCGGCAGCACTGAGAGGACTTGAAGAACCGAGGTCATCGTCAGTGATGCATATGCAGGCTCAGCACCGTCACGTCCGGCGGTCGATATGATGTCTGCATTTTACTTTGGCACAGTACAAGTCTAACAAACTTGAAACTTGTGCTCCGTCGGTTATGTGAGGTATCACTGTTAACTTTGGGGGACCGTGGCCCGGCCGGGCGGCGCAGCGGCCCGCCCCCGCCGCCGGCCCGGGCCCGGCCCGCTCGCCATGTTGCCCCTCATTCAGCGCACCTCACGCTAGTTCGAAATTTGAAACCGCAACATGTCAGGAGGATCGATGGGGAACGAGCTGGAGGAAGCGAATCAGAAGGTAATGGCGAGAGAGAGGAAGGAGGAAGAAGAAGGAAAGGAAGCAGAAAGAAGAAGGAGAGGAAGGAGGAAGAAGAAGGAGAGGAAGGAGGAAGAAGAAGGAGCAAAGGCAGGATGAACAAGGAAGTAGGTGCGGAAGAGCAGCAGGAATAGGAAATTACAACGACGAAGAGGACGAGGATAAGGACGATCGGGCAATTGTATTCACATGACCCATTCGGTCACCGCATGCCTTGCTTGAACTCTGTGATATGAAGCTGAGGAATGCATTCAGGTCACAGGACTTTTGCAGCAAGTTGACGACAACATTAATAGAGCCACAGACAATGCCGCGAAGCTTCTTTCTCACGTCAAAGAATTTGTTGTACATACCAAGAGCGTCCAGTCTTCTCTGCAGCTTTGGATCAATTTTTTCCAATCCTTCGAGGAGAACGAGAGGAAGAAGTTCTTTTCAGGTGTGATAGAGTCATTACCAAACAGCTCTTGTTCTCTGGATATCACCCAAGATTCCCTCCCCTCCTTCTTTTCAACCCCACGAACTCCATGTCTAGACAATAGCACCCAGGCTGGGTTCAAGCGGAGGTACGGGTCTCCTGAGAACACTCCTTCCTTTGGATGCTCTCCGCCATGCAGTGTACGGGTGAAGGAGGCAGATCCTGACAGGCTCGCGGCAACGGAAGCAGATTTCTCTCCTGTGTTCCAGCCTCAATTCGAACCAGAGATAGCGGAGCATGACAGAAGGTGCGGAGCTTGTGATGAGGGTAGATCTGACTACCTAGCAGTCTCTTCAAGCAGGAGCAGCCGGCGTCGCCGACACCCTCGGTAGAGAAGAGCTACAGGTCAGAGTCCTCCACCCCCAAGATCTCATCGCCGACTGTGACAGTGACTCTGAATGAGATGGAGGTAGTTTTTTTTGTCTACCTCCTACAGCTGTTGATTTTGGCTGCAGGAAATCAACTCACGGAGGACAGGTCTCCAGGTCATCGACCCCAACGCAAGTTTGCCCAGTGCGTCAAAGAGGACAAGAAGATCGACAGCGAGAGAAGGTGGACGTGTTTGAGCTCAACTCATTACCCTGGAAACAAACCAAGAGTGACGTCGATTTCAAGCACTGCTTCGCTGGATTGCTGCAATGAGTTTTGCAGTTTCAGTACCATGGCATGCAAACGAGTAGTCGCATTCAGTTTGAAGGAAACAGGATGCCTCGACGCTCAACATGAATCAGAAGGATTTGGAAGTCGAGCTTTATAACCATAGGAAGATTTAATTGTAGAATCGGAGATTGTAGCTGACCTGATCGCCTGATTTTTATGTGCCTTCGAATCAGAGCAATGGTAAAACGATCATTCACGCTTCTCTTTCCTCGCGATTTCCATGCCCTGGAAGGCCTTTACACGCCGCACCAGCCGCGCTCACTTCACCTCTCGGATGTAGTTGTAGTCCAAACCAGCTTCCTCCATGAGCTCTACGACTGCACACACCTTCACTTCACTTGGGAATGTGTCGAATATCTCTCACCTTTGCCCCGACACCAGTTGCACCACTCGCTCTCCTCCGGAATGGAAGAGATAAACGCCAGACACCTGAAACAAGTTGAATCTTGCCCTCCTCCGCCTCCAACTCTCGCAACCACCCATCCCCCCCCCTTCCCTCCCCATCGCGGCTGGCCATTATCCCGATCTTCCTCCTCCTCCTCCTCCACCTCCTCCTCCAACTCCTCCTCCTCCTGGATAAGAATCTCCTTCAGTGCTGAGTTGATTATAGTACCTAGGTCCCCAAACACATGTTTGGAGAGTATCCCAGTGAGCTCTGTGCCGTTTCAAGGATCTCGTTACCGTAAAATCCCTGGCCTGATCGTCAGAGAACTTATGGATCCAACTGACTGCAAAGACATCTGTGAGCCGATGCATACTTTAAACAAGTAATACACCTACGTAAGGACAAGTTGAGTGTCATCCCAGATAGTTCGACGTGGTTGTTAGAGACCAGGGAGTGGAAACAGAATCGTTACATAAGAAGCCATTATAGGCGACTT